CCTTCGTCAATATTAAGACCACGGACAGCAAGTGTCCAGCTAGAAAGGCGAGCTGAGCATGATGTTTTGTCTTGGCTTGTGATACAGTGGGTGGGTCCAATAAATGGCGCTTGAGTGGATGCCAGGACATCAGATTTCGGGACTAGGTACTTGGTAATGAACTGGGCAAAGATGTACTGCTAACTGAGAGCAATTCATACTTGGTGAAAAACCGACTACATATTAGAACAAGACCTAGAGATTATTCAATCTAGAGCTAGGTCGAAACCAGCACGATGAGGGCCTACCTGCGCGGCTGGACCGATGCCTGCGAGGTGAAAGGACTGTCTAGAATGCAACGCAGATCCCCAAGCCAATCGCTCAAAAGTCCCACCCACTTTGTCCCTTCTACATGCCGTTGGACGCCACAATTACTGTGGTCACTATGAGGCTTGCAGGAGCACCGCTTAGCTCAGGTCAAATCCAGCATGAGACTGGATTGCATACAAAAGCTTGCTCCTCAGCGTCTCGGCAGAGGTGTACCGCGGCAGCTTGAGAAGATTGACGCACGTGCTCGTGCTGGGCAGCCTATCCTCATCGGTGCCGCCGTCACGGATGCTGAAGGCGGGACTGAGCTGGGAAAAGCCGAGCAGCGGGGCGCGCGGCGTCGAGGTGACATACTTCAAGCCCTCGCGCCGCTCAGAGTCCTTGAAGGAGTGCATGACCTGCCAGAACATCTCGACGGTGGGGTGCTCGAGACCGTCGTCGCCAATGGTGTAGAGGCCCGAGTATTGCGTGTTGCGGCGCAGGTCCTCGACGTCAATCTCGGTGCTGTCGCCACCGACGAGGCGCTGCAGCTCCGACTGGTTGAACATGGACAGCCAATAAGGGTTGATGATGGTGCCCAGACCGCGCAGGAACGCTTTCGTCTGGCGGTACGGCTGGGCAACCAGGCGGTGGTTGACAACGTATGCTATGAAGAGGGGCCGGTCCTTGTTCGTGACGGGCAAACTCGACCCTTCTTTGCGCAGAGGCCGTGTGATGGTATGGACTTTGCCTTGGAAATCCCTGACCTGGTCTGTTATGGTGAAGTCCAGCGAGAGATCGGCAACGTCCCCCGGATAGTTCTTGAGGCTGATCAGACCTTGGTACAACTCCGGATCCATATCCCGCAGATCGTTGAGATTGGCTCTGTGGTCGGTGGGTGAGGTCTGACCTGACGACGCCCACTTGAGCAGGAAGAAGCTTGCAAACGACATATCGACCAGAATGCCCTCGTACATGCACTTCCCTACCAGCCGTCCCAAGAACTCGTACCGCTTGGACAGGTCAGTCATTCCGTTGTTCCATTCCGGCGATCCCTTGGCCGTGCCGGTGTAACGAAGGAATTCAGCGCGTTCATCAAAGGCGCTTGGGTTGGGATACAGTAAGTTCTGCTGGTTGGCCACGAAATACCCAGGACCGTTCTCGCTAGGGTCAAAGGCCTCTTCCGCAGCACTTGTGAGGAACTCCTTGGTCACGCCTCCACCATCGATACCAGCCTCTGGCTGGTCGAATTGATCAACAAAAGTAATCTGTATAGGCTCTTTGATGCCTTCACCCAGGTTATAAAACTGCTCGTAGGCATCATCGAAGACGGAACCACGCTTTACGCGAGCAGTTTGACGTCCCAGAATCTCTCGTCCGCCAGGTGTTGGGCCACCAAATCCCCCGGCACGTTGTATGACGTCCCGCCAGAGCCGCAGTTCACAATGATGACGGAGCTCGCTATCTGAGTGCATCATTATGACTTGTAGCCACTCAATGCTACTCATGCACCACAGACAGCTGCGCCATGCATATTAGGCACCTTTGCGCATGGTCTGCACTGCTACTATGGTAAGCAGACCACTTCCTTGCACACCGATAGCCTGCCTCAGGTGATCATCATTCCGACAGCCTGTCTGCCTTACGCCCTGCCGCAAGGGTAAGTCGCTCCCCTCTCCCTGTGCATGGGTGGGGCCCATCAGGTCAATAAGGCGGCGGGTCGTGTGCAACAACTGGTCGCATTTCTATGAGGTCAGATCCAAAAGAGCGCCCTTTCTCTACACGGGATGTAACAAGCGAACAGCGGAAAGGCCAATAAGCTGTGTCTGCAGCACACATTTCACGAACGACGCTGAGCTCTACAGCAGGCTCCAATAGGCAGCCAAAAATACCTAGGTACTACACTGTGATTAATCCTTGCTGCGAAGTAGACCATGCTACATCAGACCTGAGGTGCGTGTTGTTTCCTTCATCTTCCATATACACCGCTGCTCTTCTGCAGGTCACTTTATGCTAGCGTCGCAGCAGTCCACGTAGGTGCTGCGTTGCCTAAGGCCCGCGGGTATGGAAGAGAGGACTATTTTCCCCCTTGTAGGCTGGCTGTATGCCTGAGGGGGTACCGTTCAGGACAGACTGGGCATCAGAAAGATGACCAAGAAGTACCGGAGCTTCTGATACCATTGTCCACCAGGTGCTTTTATGTCGTCCTACAGAGGGCAATCGCTGCTGGATAACTATATCCCGTAGCAGCGTAATGAGTCGCGAATCCACCCAGATAGCAAAGAGGCCGTGCTCATCTCCTGAAAGGATTTCTGGAGAAGATTTCTCCCCGGTGTGCCTTGGCAGTAGCCTCGCAGACATACGAGCACAGCCCCATCGGGCTCTAAGCCTGTGCCTATGGCTAGGAATTGTCCATATACTTGATTTTCTCCAGAGATACACCTCGTACTAACTGGACCAAAGGATCAATCTCACAATCCGGGTCACCTTTCTACTTCGATGCGGCCTTGCTCACAATTTTGGCATGCTTCACCCTAGCGGAAGCCAAGGGCAAAGCTGGCGGACCGAAAGGCGGCGGTAGTGTGTCATCGAGGTATGTGCCAGCATGGAAGACTTCTGCAGAGCCCTTTTCCTTCCTCAGCCCTGGTTGATGCGTGCTCCCATAAAACTGCCAGAGATATCCTACTGAATCTCTATACCACAATGTCACGAATTTGCCTAAAGGGTCTCCATTTTCCAACGCCGGTGGATTGACCACAACTGGAAGTGGCCCAAAACCGAGTTTCGGTCTCTTCTACACTGGCGGCTCGACGAAACCTTCTCCCCCAGGCTCCCCCTCTTCTAGCGGGCACCCACCAACGTTGGTTCGATTAAGTGGGACAGGAGCCCGCCCTGAGATATACCCAGGTGGCCAATACGCGTATTTGTAGAAATCTTCCTGCATTTACTATAACGCTACGGCGCGGAGGAACGAGACCAAGCCGGCTGAGTGCATCTGCTCCATCTATGAGCCATGTGGCTGCGACGAAAATCATGGCGAGTCATACACGAGCGGTTTGCTAGGGAACGGCAGCTACCAGAGCCTCAACAAGAGTGCTGTCTTGGTATATAACAGGGGTGAACACGGCTCTGTCATTCTGATTCTGGGAGGATTGCCCAATGGGACCACTGCTCCAGGAGGTACAGAAAGTCCAAACTTAGCGAATGGCCATGTATATTGGGCAGTTCCCCAGATAATACTCTTCGTCATGCTCTTAGTCCCTTTTACAGTCTCTACCTGAAAGGGATGGACATATATCCCTTTGAACGGCCGCATGCTCAAATGTCGGTGCTGGGCCACGGCAATGGTGAAGCACTGCCACATCCCGCGCGCGTGCCGTTTCCTGGAGGGGTCCCGGACCTATGCAATCGTCATCCAGAAGCGCTCGGTGAGAGTTCTAAGAGCTGGTCATATAGATTGTTTCACTGATCCGCGTGTGCGTGTGGGGGACTATCAGCCATAACACGGGCTAGGCTGTAGTTGGGTAATCCACGGCTTTCGCGTCAGATGAATCTAAGTCATCAATATTACTTCGAATAACCTGCATATCGCCTTGACTGATGCCAAGTCTTGGACGGGAGTGTCTTGCAATTTGAGCGTTGAAGGCGAGGTACCTTCGGCTAATGATAGAGCTCGCTATCCGGGTGCATAATTCCAACAGCACCATATCTTACAGCCACCCAGTTCTGGCCATGCGCCATAGGCACTCTGATGACCAGGCTCTCGGCCCACCACTGTGCCAAGGAAATGGCTTGCGCAAGCATGGCAGACCATGCTCAAAGTTTCTGATACGCATGGCGCTGCTGAGAACCTGTCTGCCTTGCGCTAGTTGGCGAACACCGTGCATCCCGGCTCTCTCCAAAATGGTTGCTTTAGGACAGTGAACTTTACGGGAGCGTCCGACCGGCAAGTAGAAAGCTCACACTTCTGTCGGGATTGTCGTATTGCGTGACGAGAGCGACAGACTTTGGGTGCGTGTTGACTGCTGGGCATCGTCTACACGCTTTCATGCCAGCGTTGCCACATGGCGTGCTGGGGCGGGCGAGTCTTTTTCTGATCGGTGACAAAACAACCACTGCGACCAATGGGAGTTCACCCCTTGTCAGTTTCGGCCATAGCGCCCGCGTATTCGATAGGTAAAAATTAAGCTGCGTTAGGGGTTGTGACTGGTGATGGTAGAGAACTATCCATGAAAGAGATCGCATTGGCCTCAAATATTTTGTACCACTCTATAGGCAGCTCCCAGATCATGTAAACCCGCACGGCCCTACCACAATAGGTGCTGAATTTCTCTCGGCCCATTGCCCTGGTCAGCCTAGGCTACCTGCTGGGACAAAGCCAACACTCTATGGGCTTCAGATGTCATTGCAATGAGAGTCCTACCCCCCCCCCCCCTTCCCCTCCCCCAAGATATCACTTAGGCAAGATGCTAGCAAAGAAGGCACTGCCCGATCGATCCGTGCACGGTCGCTCTGTGGCAGTGTAAACAAGTGTCTCCATCGATTTTCAAGCATGACCAAGGACCATATCGCTATGTTTGTTATGTCTTCCCTGCCTGCTTAGGCCTCCAAGGAGGCTATGCAAGGGAAGCCTTGGGAGGCAGGCACGTCTATGTGGGCGGCAGGGATATAAGACCAGAGAATGCCGCCCCTTCAGACGTACAGCTTGTTGGGAACCCAAATAAGCTTCTTTACATCACACTGAGCCTCGTTTATCGCATTCGTCATGGAGGACAGCCAAACCGTCGACAAGGAGGTTTGGTGGGTCAGCGATAATGGGCAGATACCTGCGGCTACTCGCTCGACCATCATCTATGGTGACAATACCATAGCTATCAAGAATCGATCAGACTGTAGCTGCACCATGGAGTACAACGTCTACAGCTCGGAGACCCGCCCCAGCTCGGCAACCAAAGCATCCGAGCCCGAAATCACTCTGGCGTGGATTGGGTCCAATAGCGGCCAACGCGATTCAGTACTGCGAGTTCTGAAAACTGTCTTCAAAGAGTGTGGCGACAACGTCAGCTGGATATCTGACAATGAATCTCCTATTGTGCGACACCTCACACTCCAAGTTAACACGGTAGACGCCGGCACCGGGACTGATAGTGAGTCTGACAACTATTATATTACTGAGATGGATCCCACTAACCTCCCTTACTTCCGACATTTTTTAGGTTCTCCAGAGGCCAGAGCCTTCATCTTTGGCCAAAGAGAGTGTGTGGAGAGGCTTTTCCAAGCGGTAGAGAGCATGAAATGTCTGATGGAGCGATTTCCCAACATTGAGGCACTCAGAGACACGGAAAAGCGAGTCGTCATGTCACCCGAGGACCTCAAACAGCTCCACTCGGTCATCCCGAATATGTCCAACCACACCACAGAGCTTGCTATAAAAAGCACCACCCGGCCATTCATTAGGGTTATCATCCCGACCGAAAACGAGCACAAGATCACCATCATCAAGGAATACTTCGCCAAGCTTGTCGCTGAAAAGACTGAGGTCACCTACGAGAGGATCCCTGTGCGGTCCGGCGTCGGCGAGCAGCCGTACAACGCGGCAGGCGCCCTGGGCGCATTGAACCGGATCCGGAACGCTGTGGCCAGCATCAAGGCCTCCGGAGAGACGATGAACACCTTTGTAGTGGCCATCGAGAACTACATTCAGGTGAAGGGCATTGATCGACCCACCGACTTCGGCATCATCGTAGCATACAGCGTGACTGACGATACTTATGCCGTTAAAGTCTCCGACGGGGTCACGATCGACAAAGACTTTGTGGAGGCGGCCCAAATGTACGGGCATGAGTCGAACAATGAGGATTTTGGCAGTGTAACGGTAGGCGGTGTTCTTGCTTCGAGATTCCCGCCTATTGACAAGGCCAATTGGCATGAAGTTGTCGCAGGAGTGCCACGATACCGTCTGCTGACGGAAGCAATTGAATCTCTTTCATTGCCTTAGGTGTATGGGCTTCCCTTTTCCTTCCTTCTCCTTCTTCCTTCTTCTCCTTCTCCTTCTTCTTATACTCCTCGACGCACCTTTAGCTAGTATCCATCTTGCAACTGATGGGTCCCTTCTCAGTCTGCAATACTTTCATATCGTGATCGTACTTAAAATGGTCGGGTGTGTTCGCTTCATAAGGCTTAGCGCGTGGGACGACCTGCAACGCGACGAGCGCGGCCATGATGTAAATCTCCCGGTGCGCGAGTTGTGACACGGGCCAACGGTATGATTGCTTCCTACTGTGCACCACGACGAAGATGTTACATATTACATTACCATGCCCTCTATGAGGGCGGCAGTGCAGAAGACACTGCTTGACCAGCCAAAATAGAATTAACTAGGGGGTAGAGCTTGTCTTCGGCTCTTCCACACTGGCCAATTTGAGGTGCCGGAGAAGGGCCAGGCTTCTTTGCTGGCTGTTTACGTCAACATCTCGAGATGTTATAGCATACGGTCTTGTACTTGGCTATATATGCATCAACTCTCTTACCATCCGCTCAAGACTTTGGTTAGTCTATCCATCGCCACGAAGGCATATGTGAAACTGGCACATCTAAATAATGAAAAGCCTATCTGGCCATCTCATTATTGCTCTCCTGGTATATTCAAGGACAACCTTCGCCATTATTCGTCCTAGCCCATCGCACGACAACGAGTATTTCAACAATGCCGTAAACGATCCGATGTCGTTCGACAAATGCACTCTGTGGGTCCGTTGGTACAGTAGTTGGGACGAAATCGGCCGGCGGTATGGGGTGGTGGCTACTGCACATAGCGGGAACTCGACGCAAAAGGTCAATGATTGGACTAGTAAATGCAGGTCTATTGCCAACAATGATGGTTGGAATCATAATCCCCAAACGTGGCCAACACACGGTGACCCTTTTCTAAACGCTGAGGCAGCTTGCGACATAAACTTTGTGCACGGGCCTGTAGGATACCATGAATACCTGGAATGGCATCAGGAAGTCAGCAATCATTGGCTTGGTCTCCATCCTGACTGCGATGTGTATATGGTTATCTGACCAGAGTATGGTAGTTTGAGCCAAGGAATGTAGCATGTCTGTACAGGTCAAAACTGGGTTGTAATATTGCGGAAAACTGCCCGGCATTTATCTACTTGTATATATTGTCCCATCTACGAGCTTGATATCAGAAGCTACCGTGATATAGGATGGTGAATAGCGCCTGACGGAGGCGTAATGCGAACGAACCATCTGCATATCTATATAGGTAAGCCTTACCGTGGCTCCATATCTCGTTAGTCCTCCACGGTCCACGCGTTACGAGCCTTTGTTATGAGATCCGATTTATGCCAGCATATCTTTCACGCTTGCCTAGTTTCAATCGGAGCACCACTCCAGGAATTTCGGAGATTATTCCTAGATTGTGATTCTTCGATTGATATGTGTAACGCCTAGGCAGACAATGGTTAACCGCCTAAGGGGTATGGGGCGTAGGGCGGCTCTAATATATATTTCCGTTAAGCATCCCATACGTCGTGGTCACTGCGTCTTGAGCCCGGCTACCTTGCTATGCGTGTCGACCCGCATCGTCACAGGAATAATGAAGGAGAACTTGCCAACGTGCCCCTGGAAGATAGGAACCCATGGTGACGAATGAGGCTCCGTCACCGAGGCAGATAGCCGACCGTGCCACCCAGTACTGACAGGATTTCCGGGCGCTTGAGCGGCCAGACATTGAACAGGTGATTGGGAAGATCGGATATGCTCGATGGAGCTTTCAACACATGAATGGAAGGCAGGTACATCTCGGGTAAGTCCGGATTGACCACTAACTTTGGCAATGCTTTGAAGCCAGGTACAATAACCATGCTTTCATCTCGTATATGAAGATGAAACGAGAAGGATTCAGTATAACATTTAAAGAAGTGCAAACAAGTGTTCTGCTCAATCGTGTTCCCAAGACTCTCGACGAGCATCGCAATGCTAGAGGCTTTTAATGAACAACCTTTGGCGGCGATAGCATGGGCAGATCCAGATAGCATTGTTACTCGATGCAATACATAGGGTAATTGTCCAGAAACGATCGCGCGACACCATCATCGTGTGACCTCCGTTGCCCAGGTCTCATGCTGTTCAGCCAAGTTGCCCCAGCAATAGCCGTCTACACTTTATGCTCCGTCACTCGCCTCTTACTCCTTGTAGCCGCTTGTTGACTTGAGCGAGACCAGGCGTAAAGTAGGGTACAAGCTCGAACGCGAAGCCCTTAGCAGATGCTTATTTTGCAGCTAATGGAACCGTTCTTGGTCTGCAGCACAATCATGTCGTGATCGTATTTAAAGGCAATTGCTACACCGGCGTGAACGAATGGCTACACCGGCGTCACTCTTATACAGGCGTCACTTCCATGGCCTTTGATTGGTCCATCCCTTTTTGTTAGTGCATTTAGATTCTGCCAACAGCGCCCGTTGTACCTCGGGCTTACCTCTCCACCGCAACGATCGACGCGCCTTATGGAAGCTCTTCACCAGCTAGCTACCACACTAATTACCTCTTTGCCGCATGTCGAGCCTACTTAGAATGATTTTCGCGAAAGATACGGTATTTGTTAAGGTCACAGGGCTGGAGTGAGGTGTGTTGGACCCCTGCTGAGACCAAAGCTCGAACACAGGCTGTATCAGATCACGCTAACAGCCTCATCTAGAATCGGCATCGCAAAGCAGGTCTTTACTTTCTGCCCGAAATGAGACCCTTCTTTCCTTCTTTCATAGTCGAATCAAGTACTCTTTTACTCATCTTCTCACCGTGCGTGCGACACTCCCTATCGCGATCGAGGCCGTCATGTCCCAGCCCGAGTCTCCATCTAGCTCCCTAAGCAACCAACGACGACGAAGCTATCAATTCCGGCCTCGAAAACGACAGCGGCAGGACCAATCTGATAGTTCAAGACCACCTTCCTCTAATAGCACAGGCACGAGCATTGGCCGACACTACGGCGTCGGCGACGATGAAGCACTCTATAATCTTTTCGCCTCATATCCAGAGACGTTGACGACCGCGCCACGGCCCCGTGGATCGCGCGGGCTGAACGAGCCACCATGGGGGCTACGATTCGATCAAGAGATTCACCTTTCGAACGATTTCCCATTCCAAGGAAGACGATCCCAACGAGTTAGAATCCCTATACCAGGCCCAGAAATGGACCAACTACCTCGCTCCTCTCCACCGCGATCAGTACAAGAGCATCCCTCTCCCACCAAGGCCGAGTTTCATTCTGTTCTCAAGCTAGTACGCGAGGTGATTGGGACACACCGGAGACTAACCCTCGAGCTCGTCCGGTCATACGAACAAGTCCGCCAATGGCGTGAGAGATGGGGTTACTCGCCGCTTAGTTCAGATGCACTCGAATCACCTCCGCCCTACTCGCCTCCCCGAGACAGGCACTCTCCGACTATAGCTTCACCGCCCTTGCCCGACCTCTCGTCATCGCCTGTCCCTGACGGGATCCCGAACCCACCTATCCCAGGCGACCCAGCGCCGTCAGCCGAAGTCCTGTTCGAGTGGGTGAATACTTTCGCGAAGGCTAATGGCTTCGGTATTGTTCGACGAAATGCACATTCATATAAGGGTCGGAGGATCCGGTACACTTTTCAATGCGATCGATTCGGAGAACCAGCCCTTAGTCAAGGCGCAGGACTTCGACGACGGAAGTCTCGAAAGTGTGGATGTAAATGGATGGTTGTTGCCGAGGCGTTAGAAGAGGGGAAGTGGCTCTTACGACAACACTCGAAGCCCGAACACAGCCAGCATAACCACGGCCGCAGCATCGGGCCATCTGCTCATCCCTCCCATCGGAGACTCACCGAGCCTATCAGGACAACGGTCGAATCGACAAGCCGTCGGGTCGGAATTCGGGCCCGTGACGTACGTGCTATCGTCCAGGAGCAGCATCCCGAATCATCCTTTACACGGAAAGACATCTATAACGCCAGATCTCGTATCAACCGAGACAAGCTGGATGGCCATACTCCTACTGCAGCACTGATCAAGCTGCTTGACGAGATGAAGGTTCCCTATCTCGTTAAGTGGGGAGACGATGAGCCAAACCGTCTTGTTGGCCTTGTCTGGACATTTCCTTACTGCCTCCAGATGTGGAAGCGGTTCCCCGAGGTGATCAGCTTCGACAACACATATAACACGAACCGCTTCAAGCTTCCCTTATTCCAAGCAACGGGACAGACATGCCTTGGCTCTGTCTATAACGCTGCCTTCGGTCTGATAGATAACGAGAGGAGAGAAGGGTTCCAATTCCTCTCCGAGAGCATTCGACAGCTAGCAGAGCAGCACTCCATCCGGCGACCGGATGTGATCGTCACCGATTTCGACGACCAGATGAAAGCCGCATTGAACGACCAGTTCCCCGATGTACAGCAGCAGCTGTGCATCCACCACATCAATTCGAACATCCTGCTTAAGTCAAAGCAGAGGTGGGTTAACGCCCGCAGCAGCAGCAGAAGTAGCCCTGGTACCAGCGACGGAGAGGCAACTACCCCGCAGCCACAAGCTCAACTAACCCCTCAAGACCGAGAGTTGGTTCACACGCCAACAACCGAGGCTATCCCTCATAACTATCGAGGAGTTCTCATCATGTGGAAGCTCGTCTTATTTGCTGAGACGGAGGAGGCCCACGAGGAGGCATGGGCAAACCTCTGTAAGGAGTTTGATGACCAGCGAGCTATCCTGCGGTATCTCCATGGAACCTACATGCCCGTCAGGGCCCAATGGGCCCGCTGTTTCATCCGGAAGTATCGCAATTTCGGGGTCCGTGTCACCTCTGGTACAGAAGCAAGCAACAACAACATCAAGAGCTATCTTCTGAATGGTATGAGCAATCTTTATCGCCTTTTTGAGGCTATGCAGGACATGATGAAGGACCAAGAGCGGGATTTCAACGATGCCTGCGCAGCGGATGAGGTACTTACCGCACGAGAGTAT